AAGCTTAGGATCTAGAATAATGGGACTTTCCTATGCTGATCAAAAAGCAAAAGTGCTTAGTAGCAATGGACAACACCATCACTTACCTTTGTAGTAGATTTTATCTATTAATCATAGTGGGCCACATAAAAAAACAAAGTATCTGTATCTGAAAGAAAAGAAATTGTGATGCCTGTAGCAAACAATCAGATTTCAGTTGCTCATTTTAGAAAATTAAAAGAAGAACACAACTGGTTCCAAAATTATAACCACAATATAAAGTTATCCATTCTCTTCTCTGGGAACCAGAACGTAAGATAGCATGTTAGCTAGACATACAGAGGGATCTTCTTCATATCTGTGTTGAGTGGAGGAATATTTTCTGATCACAGATAAATAATTCTAATGCCTATGCATGCTCACTGAATGTGCTTCATGCAGCATCAACTGTGTGCAAATTGTGCAAATGTAACCGTCCATAACTCAATATTAAATCCATAATGTATTACAGATCATTACTGAATTCTGGGCTTCACAAACCCAATTCTTAGAATTAAAGTTCTGCAGAGTTTGAGTTATTTCCATCTTTAGCTTAGATTTTTCGTGTCAATGGTGAAATGTACAGTAGTGTCTGTGTATGGGGAAATAAAAAAGGTGATGTAAAGTAAATTCCTAACTAATGGGGTAATTTAAAAAACAAGTAATACCACTCATTACTGATTACACAGACACAGATGTTATCATTATTTCTTTCAGGGAAGGCTCATCATCATTCCCAGTTTAAATAAGATAGGTTTTGCACTAACAAGCTTCGTTTTTATAGTCTTATCTCCAATTCCCTGTTATGGCAGTTTTACAGTGGGCAGTCCTGCAGGTACCAGAGTTTGACCATCCCTTCATTGCACTCAGTAATCTAACAGACCTGGTCAGACATGCCCACTCTCTTCCTCAGTCCTGCATGCAAAGTGTGAGACTTCACAAAATTCTGAACTAATAAAAAAGAGGCTTTTAATATACTGTATAAAGCCAAAAGTATATTTGTAGGTTTCTTAGGCATGCATTTTGTCACGTTTCTATCTTTTTTAACAATAAGTTTGTTTTTGAACCAGCAGTCTTATGCTGTTAGTTTACCACACAGAACCCTGATGTGAAAAAGAAATTCAGCACTCCTAACCTGAAAAAGAAATTATGCTTTACACTAAAATACCCCTTGACACTTGGCCCTTCTTTACTTCTAACCATCATGTCTTGAATTGTATTGTAACTGTAATGTCTTCCTTATATTGTAAAACACTGCGTAAACTGGTGATGCTTTATAAATCCTGAATCATAGAAATAACTTGTACCCTTAGCACTTACCCTCCCTAACCCATAAAACCTGCCCCTAGAAGAAAACTAAAGCCAAACCTTTATTCGGCTTTACTTTTCTTTTGGGTCACAGGGGTATATGTACTACTGTGACCAAAAGTCAGCATATAGCCAGCTATATCCACTATATACCGACAGTGCAGAGGTGCGTTGCAGGTGGGAGGGATCCCAAAAATAGTGTCGGGACCCACCCCACTGCCTGACAGATGGGCCTGCCTCTCTACAGCCAGAGGCAGAGGTGCCCACCCACCACTCGCTTGTCTATCCTTTCAATGAGTGCTGGAGGAACAGAGAGGGGAGGGGGGAATCCATGCAGGGAGTGGTAACTGCTGTCTGTAGGGAGACTGAGTTGAATGATCAGCGGCTACATGAGCACTCAACCCTCAGCATAGAGCCAGGGTCAGATAGCTGCAGTGTCCCACCCTGACTCTAAGTATTGGGAAAAGTATATTGTACTCCCCAATACTTCTCCTTTAACAGTTTCCCTTTTCCAGCTCTTAACCTGTTCCTTATCACCAAACCTGTCCAACTCTAACCTCATAACTTAATCTAACCCTCAAAGGAGCCGTTAACACTGAACTTGCCACCAACCACCAACAGCTGATCCCTAAAGTGGGTCCTTAGCACTTGAACTCCCTATTTAATCCTTAACCTGCTGAATACTAACCTTGTCCAGCATCGGGAGCCCCTGCAACAAGTGCATGCAGGTCTCATATTAACATCAAGCAGCACTAAAATCCCGCTACCAGAAGATACTTCTTCAATCTTTCAAACGTTCAAACCAATCACTGTTATGAATATGAATATGTGCACTCACATGAACTTCAGTAATGCTAATACTCTGATGAAGTGGCAGAGCCTTGAAATGCTTTCATACAGGAAGTAAGCTGAGCGTGATTCCACTGAGCATTCTCCATTTGGACTGTGCCTAGTCTCCTTCATGCTTCGAGGCCAAGCTGCAGAACGGGTTGAGCAGAGTGTAATACCATTTTCAGCTTCCAGGAAGAAATAAACATTAATACTTTTTCAAACTTTCCAGTAAGGGCATATAAGCTGTTACTGTTTTCTCAACAAATCAATTTGAACAATTTACCAAAATGATTTTATCTTTGTTTTTGCTGTGCCCTCCCTCTCCCAGGTTGCTGTACAAAGTATTACAGGAGGCTCATATAATGAAAGGTTTGGGTAGTTATACTAACTACCCAAAAATAAATGTAAAGGAGACCTGTAAAGGAGACCTGTATGCAGATCAGGAATTCTGGCTTAACTTCGAACATAGCAAGTGCAGCCTGTATATAGTATACAGTACAGGGGAATTTTATTTTGAATAAACTAGGGATGTCCCGATACCGATACAAGCATCGGTATCAGGACCAATGCAGGGCAGTTTGACAAAGTACTTGTCAAAATGCCCCGATACGTAGTGCCGAAGCTTGCGCTATGTTTTTTTTTCTTTACTAACCTTGCCGAGCGTCACGTCACTGCTGCTCTGGTGGGTGGCTCTCCAGGTAGGGTCCTAATTTAGGTGGCCTAATCTTCGTGTCCCATCGCACTCCTGACCGGACAAAAACCCAAATGCAACTGGGTAGGTGCGGTGGTGACAACGGATGCCTCCGTGAAATGTAGATAGATGAAAGTAGTCACTCGCACTCCACGATATTAAAGTCAATGCTGTTTATTGACTGAGATAACCCACATCTCCCAGCATGGTCTCGAAACGTCGCTAAGGAGATGTGGGTTATCTCAGTCAATAAACAGCATTGACTTTAATATCGTGGAGTGCGAGTGACTACTTTCATCTATCTAATTCAGGTGGCTGGTGACTGCCCAGAGGACCCCACTCAGAGCGCTGCCAACCGGAGCAGCAGTGACGCGACGCTCCTCTTCAGCCCAGCGCCGACAATGTCCTCACGTGTGAGGAAAATCGTTCGGCACATCGTGAGGCACCACGATCAGGGCAACAGTAAGGGCCTGGGCTTAAGTGTGATGTTTAGTGTTTTGTGTGAACAACAAGAATCTATTGCTGCAAGAGGCACCTTGTGAGGCAAATGGGATCGGAGTGAAACTGTGAGTGAGGAAAGCTGGGACAGGGCTGGCTGTAAATCTATTGCTATAGTGTACTGTAAGTGTGTATATGTATATGTAGTACATATATATACAGCACACACCTCCACTACACTGCAGCAATAGATTTACAATTCTCCCCTGCTAACATGAATAGGTTAAATATTGATCCATAGTACATATCATGTAGTTTTACTATGGATCATTTAAAGTCACCTGTCCCTTTAAGAAAAAGTATTGGTAATTGGTATTGGCAAGTACATGAGGGAAAGAGTACAGGCAGGTGTTTTACTAAAAGAGGCCGCAGATTGCAAAGAAGTGTAAAATTGGCCAGAAGAAGGACAATTTTTAATTGCAATGTAGGCCTAAATGTACTAGAGACAAAGAGCACAGGCTGGGGCTTTATCAGAATAAAGATACTGTAGATGATACAGCAGTGTAAAATTGGCCAGCAGCAGGACAGTTTTAATTTAACGATAGTTAGCCTAACTGGTGTATACCAGACTTTTTTTTTTATCTATGGGGAAAGGTGGGGGTGGTGTCAACTTTTTTTAGCGAGTAGGCTGGTTTAACCAAAAGCCCTCTTATTGGCCCTTCTAAGCCTGTTGGTCATAATTCAAAGGTCATGCAGTGCATTACGTTTAAAAAAAGAAAATTATCCTGGGCGAATTTGCACATAAATTAGTCGGGATTGCAAATTTTTACCTTGCAGTATTCCCCTCAAATTCACGCTAACGGCAAATCAGAACCTCATCCCTACTTATGTCTACAGTATGCATTAGTGTGCTATTTCTAATATTTGGAATTTGTTTCCTGAGGCTACCAATCAGATGCACATTTTCAGGTAAGTTCTAATGCTGATGGCTGGCTTGTTGAGACACAAACACATTGCTACATATTGCCCATTGCTACGTTTTCCTATAGGTAATAGTGTGGGTTCAATTTCATGTATTTTTTTTATATTTTATAAGTTTTAAACCTATTAATTTACACATGTGTAATCTATCTATCTATATATCTATCTATCTATCTATCTATCTATCTATCTATCTGTCTGTCTGTCGATAAAAGATTCCCAGAGCACTATGTTACATTTATCTGACTAAAATCTCATAGCAGAATTGTATCGCTGATGTGAATGAAACCGAAGCTCCACCTGCACATACAAAATAGAGCAATCTTGTTGAATAAGTCTCTTCAGTGTCTTGGCAATGAGCAGTGTGGAGGGCCCAATCTAACCTATCACTTTTGTCATTTGGAGGAAGCATTACCTTTCCTCGCCTGGCAAATACAGGGCATAGAGAGGGGTGACCACTTCTAAAGAAAAAAATCTTTAGTAAATTGCTTGAAGCAATTTTATGTTGATCTAATTTTGTAAACAC